AGGCTTGAGCTAGGGCCGCGGCGGGCGCCATGCACGCCGACGGCATTGTGCCGTGCTACGACCAAGTCACATAATGTCTCGGCAACTTATTAATAACTGAACTTAAACATGGTTTACTGAACTAAATAACACATAATGGTCGAAAGTTTTGAACATAACATGCATGCGTTCTCGGGTGGCCCGTGGTGCGCACTACGTGTGCGACCACCCCCTTTCTCGGCCAACCTCAATAACAAGACTAATTCATCCGAACATTAAGGCTAAATTAAACATGATATTGCACATAAAAGCCAAGCATGCAAGATTGTTCGGAGAATTCCATGAAAAGCATAACATGATTCGGATAAATTTATTTAAAATGTAACATGACCGTACGGCAATAGCTATAACACGCATGCATGTCCATTTTAGCATTTAATCTCGAATGAACATAATATTCTAGGTTAAAGCCGATGGAACTTACCTCTTGTTAAGCCTTCGGAGACTAACTCTCGAATTCCCGTGCGATGCCTTCTGCGTGCGTGCGCGCTTCTCGGACTTGCGTGCGGTGCTCGGCAATGGACGGCTGCTGCTCGCGTGCGATACGTTGCTTGCGGTACGCGTTACGGCTCGGACGTGCGACGGCTCGCGTGCGCGCGGTACTCTTGGCGGAAGCTCACGCACAACACACAACAAACTCAAAGCCTCACTTAACTCTCTCTCACTCTCGGCAAGAACACTTAGGCGTGAAGAAAGAATTGGGACAATGCCTCCAAACACTCTCTTATGCACAAGGCTGAAAGATAAAATGGGGAGTGAGGGAGGGATGTGGTCAAGGCAAGACACATGATACTCATGCACAAGGACTAAAGAACACTTGGCATGCATGCTCAACTCTCCCCTCATAAATTCACGTGAGCTAGGTGCAAGAAGTTGGAAGCTTGTGGGCAACACCCACAACACACGCACGGCAAACAAGGGAGGAGATAATGGAGCCAAAACACTACACTCCACACAATTTCCCATGGCACAAGAGGACAAGGAGGGGAGCATCTTGGACAAAACACTTGCACGGCTTTCATGGACAATGTTGGAAGAATCTTGGCTACATCTCACACATAATGCACGGCACTTGCACATGAAATTTAACAAAAATAT